AACTAATCACTCACTGCGAACTAATCACTCACCACAAACAAATCACTCTCTGCGAACTAATTCGGGAAAAATTAAAAAAAAAAGTGAGTCAAAAGTAGTTGAAAGTGATCCGTAAGTAAAGCAGAGAAGAAGTTGAGTGAGATCCAGATCGTGTTTTAATGTCTGATGAAATGTGTCCTCTGGGATCAGCTCTGTGTCCTGATGTGTGCTGCTAATGGTTTAAAGCTGTGTCTGTAAGGAGCAGCCCAGGGTGTGCTGCAGCATCTGGACGAGCACACACACACACACACACACACACACACGTGTGTGTGTGTGTGTGTCAGTGTCAGTGTCAGTGTGTGTGTGTGTGTGTGTTCTGAACATGTGTTTTCCCAGACTGCTGCTGCATTTGGGTCTTTTTTTGCTCTCATTCATCTTCACGTTGTGGTGTGTTTTTATTTCTTAGCTTTTCGCATGGTTTTAATTGCTTTTGGCATTTTGTGTACTTTGTAGACTTTGTCAGCGGAAACAAACCATGTTGCCTTCAGTATTTAGTGTCGGAGAACCGCAGCCTTCTTTACAACGCCCACAATAGGGCTAAAGCGCCACCTGCTGTAAAACGAATGAAATGATTAGTTCAAGATTCGTTCACGACTCGTTAATTTTACTGTTCGAGAGTCAAAGATTCGATCCAATAAAAAGAGTCGGTCTTCCCATCACTACTACCTATACCTAATTGAATTAGCTTGGTTTTGGGCGGGGGGAGTGGGGTCGGCTTTGTTCAAGCGGCGCCCATTCAAATAATTTCAAACCAATGGGACTAGCCCCCGCTCCTCCGTAACCAAACCCACTCTCTCTCAGTAGGTCGGCGCCTGGAGCTGCCTGCCACTGCCCTCACCTCCCTATGCGTTTTAAAACCCTAACCCTGCACTGAGGAAGACTACACACCATGCACATAGGAGAGCGCACGATTTTCCCCTCGCTGCGCTTCGCACGATTGTTTATATATAAGAAGGACACTTTGGGATGCGGACAAACGCAAGTGCTTCAGTGGAGAGAAGCGCATGAGAGAGCAAGCATTCACGCACACTGGGTTGTCAGTCTCCTTTCACACATAGGACTTCTCCCCACCTCGGCTGTGACACCCCCGGTAAATCGCTGAGAAAGGATAACGTTCTTTTTTTGTTATTATTCCACGCTAGAGACGTAAAGGCTGAAAGTGAGGCTGCCGTTCTCAGGCCACTGACTGTCTGATTGTATGCCTTTGAAAAGTTGCCTGGAGAACATGGACATCTGACGTGCGCCACACGGCGTCACTGGACACAGTGGGCCTCCCTCACCCTCGCTCATTCCTCCACCACGTCTTTGGACTGCTTCACCTCCTGCGCCTTGGCTTTGGAGCGAGAAGAAGTGATCGTCTCTTGTCATTCGTCCTTATTGAGGCTACACCAGTGATCTCTCTGAGATCTCTACTCTCTGAGTAGAAAATATTTATTTTCCTTCTCATCACCACGGATGTGTCCCGCCCTGACCTGCATGAAATAAAGCCCATGGTTCAGCCAGGTCCTGCGGCTACTCGGAGCTGTTCGTCAAGTGTCATCTCCAGCGTCTCTTTGAATGGTCACGTTTTTGCTGCCGTTCCTGTGGTGAATTATTCCGTGTTCGAGCGCATTTTCTTTCTTTTAATGTTTTTATATTTTTCAGCGCTTACAAACTGCACCAGTAACACAACACACATGTGAACGAGAGTCTTCACCTGCCCGGGTGGAAGCGCTCGCACAACTCAACTGCACTGAACCACGATACAGGAATACCTGCCGAAGTTTTACCGTGGTGATGCTGCATATCGAAATGGTCCTTTTTGTCTGCCTGGTGGTGTTGATGTGTGTTTTCAGCCAGGAGTCCAGTTCCAAAGTGGTGGCAGACCGCTACGCCGTCTTCTGGAACCGGACCAACACCAAGTAAGTGGCCGTGCAGCGGGCAGGTTTACGGCGGAAAACCAGCGATGCTACGTCTACGCCTCGCCTGGCATGCGTTACGCGGTTTTTGCTGGAGCAGAGCAGTGTTTATTCCCTGCAGTGAATGCATGGTGCCAGTATCTGTATGTACGGGCTTTAGCTGTGGGTAAAGTAGAAGAGCAAAGAGTTAATTTGTCATTTTTATTTTTTTTTTAGTTATGCGGTGGCTCATAAATGCCGCGCTTTTTTCAGGAAACCAAAAATAAAATCGTGCGTAATACACTATAAGAGTAGTATCCATCCAGTTTTTAATTTAAACATTTAACGTTAATTTACTCATATTAAGCGCATATGTAAAGCCATCTAGTTTAATGTTCTGTTCCACCGCCCGGCGGACTCCACCGGACCCATTGACACCGGTGTCTAACTAGTCTCAACTTGGCTAAACTGTAAATCAAAGTCCGCTTCAGCACAAAACCACAAAGCCCACTTTATGTAGTCCACTTCCTCACAGCACTGTAGACACGGTACCTTCATGTGAAAAACTTCACTTGTTGGCACAAGTACGGGCCCAGCGTCTGGACTTGAGACTTAGTTTTATTGTATGTCATCTGTGGTTTTATTGTGAAAAGGGACTATAATGTAATTTATTCATCCGTGTTACAGAGCTCCTGAGCAAGTTAAATATCTTAACTCTGCTCACTGGAAAAATGTAGGATGTAGTGATTATAAAGAAAGTAAATATAAATACATAAATATAAGTGCTTCTGAATTTTAAATTAAAAATATCAGCAGGTAGTCAACAAAAAATACACTTTAAATAGAAAATTCACTTTAAATTGACAAATGTACCTCAAAAGAGTAATAGAGTACTCTTGTGTACCTCTAGGTGTTTGGCATATAAATGCCCACTATTTATTTAACACAAAAATAGGCTGTAGTGAAGTAAAATAACCCACCATTACAATAGGAAACAACACAATTGAATTTATTTGTCAAAATCAAACCCACAGAACTCAACTTGAACACATTATCACAGCTGAAGTATTTTGTAAAAAACTTTAAAAGGTGGTGTTGGAGTAAGTGGTGGGAAAACGTGTAAATAGTCCTTAAAAATTTTTTGGGAAAGTTTTACTTTTGTGTTGTGCAATTTCTCTGAAGGTTGAATTTAAAAGGTTAAAAAGTGAAAACATATTTAGTGGTAATTTTGAATGTGTGTTTTGCGTAATGTTAAATTATTTTGTTAAATGACTACTTAAAAGGATAAATTAGTGAACATGTTGACTGTCTTTGTTGAACTTAACCCTTGTGCGGTCCTTTGCATTTTTGTACACACCGTTTGTCCTTGCAATGATTTTCATCTTGTCCCAGAATATGAGTATTAATGAATATGAGGAAAAGTTGGCACAAGTCATGCAGTACAGGAACATGCACACGCACACATACTCACGGACGCACACACACAGACACACAAAGATATATTAGGTCTAGGTTACCTAGGGTCATCTAGACCTGATGGACCTTACAAGGGTTAAATATACACTGAAAATGTTATAGTATTGACATATTGTGGATATAATACATAGATGAACTCAGCTGGCTGTAGCAGAGCCAATGTTTTTTTGTGCTGTTCACTCAGGCAGAGCAGACTGGAGGACATTAGCAAAGTTAAAATTTCTCATTTTAATTTCTCATTCTCATTTTCTCGAATGTTTTCCAGTCTTGAGTCAAGTTCGTCTGTGCCGGGACAGGCCTGAGTTGCTCAGTGTTCACGTTTGTCCGGGCACCATTTCCGTCCAAAATGTCCCATACAGAGTCCAACTGTTCACCGCCTTGTGTCCGGCTTATTAAGTCCAAACTGCTGGTGCAGTGTTTGAGGAGCTTTCACTCAGATGCCAAGAGCACTTAGTTTTTTTTTGTTTAGTAAAACCCTCACTTTGTGAACCAAGCCATTATTGGAACATGCTGAATTTGTTGTACAGTTATTCGGATTCAGCTTGAAGTTTGGGAAAACATGATTTATTGCTTGCAGCGATTAGTGGTCAGGGGTAGAAAGGCAGGGCCGACTGTGTGCTCCCTGCTAGTGTCAGGGCTGGTCTTGCAAGACCCGAAGGACCTTACAAGGGTTAACCCAACTTTGTGTTTTTTTGTCACCAGACCTGTAAATGCACTTTTCATTTAAATTAGAATTTTTTTCCTATTAACTAGAAAATGAGCACAGCAGGCACCAGTCAATGCTTACTTAATGTGCTTGGCAGGGCAGCTGTTGTTCAGTGTACTGTGGGAGAGGGGGAGGTCTCTTGGCCGTGACCCTTGTGGAGGTGCTATGTGGCAAACTGAAGCGGCCCTGTTGCCACAGGTGTAATAATAGATATGTTCATTTTTAAGTAAGTGAAATAAAGAAAGCACAAAATAATAATTTGTAATGATATTTATATTTTTAATTTTTTAATTATTTATTCCTATTGAAAAATAGGAAGTCCTTTGTAAATATCTTCTTTATTATATTCTTGCCATTTTGCACCGTGGGTCCGAGAGGGCTGCAGTTTAATTGTGCCATATGTCCTGTATGTATGACAATACAATATTTGACAATAAAGTTGACTTCAACTTTGAAATATTTGAAAAATTCACTTATTCAACCTAAAACTTTTTTTTATTCAAAATATTTTTTATTTAAATATATATATTTTTAATTCTTTTTTATTTTTTCAAGTGACACTTGTTTTTTCTAGACCATTTAAAATAATGCATTTTTTCAGTTATTTTAATATTTATAGTTGTTTTCAGGATTTCAAATAACCACAACATATTGTCAAAATAAATTCTTTTTAACCACATTTTTAAATACGTCATAACTTACCAGCGTTTAAAGCGTTTTAAAAACACCATGTTAGCTTGTCCAGAGTATATATGATCCTGGTACACCTACAGAAATCGCCAGTATTGAATAACATTCTCTCTCACCGACCGGGAGAACTGAACTCCTAATGTCTGGGTTTTTGTTTTATGTGAGTCCAAGGTCAGATGGCGTTCTGAAACGCTATCAGCTGAGTGATCTGTCTTTTAGTCCTCATTCAGTCTGTGGCTTTCAGGGGAGCTCTCCGTACAGTTCTACTTAGAAGGTATTAAGGTATTAACTAGCTTACACAATACCCACATGAGCAAAGCTTGTTGCTAGTCTCATACGCCACCATGAGAATGATAATAATATTTTTTCCCTTACTTGTTTGCTTTCCTGTGGGATGCCTGTGTTTATTCTGGGGCAGTTATTTTCCCTTCATTGACCTGGCTGTCTGACCACCTTAGTTTTGCAAGTTGTGGAACATTTTTTTTCTTTCTCTTTCTCCCCTCAAACTGTTCTTGATTCTGCCCTAATGTTACTTTGTGCTGCCAAAGAGCAGCTGTGGTTCCACAGTTGCATTTTTTCAGTGATCACCCGAGTAGATTTGTGGTTAGGATGAATGTAGTTGACTGAGGAAAAAGAGGGGAAAAAAAATCAGTTCTGAGGTTTGTTTGATTTTCATTACAGTTGTTAAGACACAAACCCCCCCCCCCCCCCCCCCCCTAAACAAGCAGGAATACAGCGTTGCTTCAGACTTAATAAGGTAGACACTAGCAGTTGGGTATTACAGACCCTCTTTCATGGCGGAAAATGGCGCCATCATATCCATTCTCAGCTTCTTGCTCTTGTTTGTAAAATGGAGCCTGAGGCGCAGCTGTTACTGTAGTAACGCTTGGTTGAACTAACGCCCCTGGCCAGAGAGGGGCGCTAGAGAGAGGGGTCCGTGCTCTTGGGCTACATTAACAGTTGTACAGATGGAGAGCTGGATTTCCATCTCTGCTTTGGTTGAATTGACCTCGTTAAACTCATTTACTGTCAGTCATTGGTTTTACAGGAACCACACGGCTGCATGTGAGTGCCAAGACTACTGATGGCTCCGGATTTTTTCTTTCTCTCATAATATGTCACTGTTCACAATTTCGACTGGAATATGAAACAGTTTTTTTTTTTGTTTTTTTTTTCCAGACACATTTTCAGATCATTCCTTTCATGGTCGGCTGGCTCCGGACCTTACGCTGCCTTTTCCTTGGGGTTGGGGTGGAGGAGATGGGTGGGTGTCAGGATGTTTTTCTAGCTGGGTAGAATAGAATCCCAGAAGAGAAGACATTGGCAAATCATGCATAAAAAGCTAATTGATAGGTTACAACCTTCTAATTGACTCTGGAGGTAATGCATCTCCAAATATACTGTGTTTCCTTTCAATTGAAGATAATGTGATGTAAAAGTAATATTTGCTTCTTTTAGTCAGAGGTCACATTATCACCTGCTCACCTGCTGTGTAATGAATTTTCTTATCTGATGTTTTTATTGAGACTTTTATTGAATTGAATATTAAATTATCTTTTTTAAATTACACATTTTTCATTGAATACAAGCGATTTCATCATTTCGCTCATTTCACTCTTTGACCAGATCTAATAAGATTAATTTAGCCGCATTATCCTCACTGAGTTTACTATAGAGGACAGAAATATTCGCAGCTCATACCCCCTCCCCAAGACTGAAAGTAATGCATGCCCTTTAAACGCAGGCAGAAGAGACGGGAGGGCAAAGGAGAGGAGCGAGGGAGGACAGTGTGAATGGTCAGAGGAAAAGGGAGAACGCACAGCTGAAGTCGTAGTACGCTTTCAGGCCGGGGTAAGGGAGCAGAGCAGGAGTACAATGTGAGCAACAGACACAAGTGAAGAGGCATGTAGTGGCCAGGGGTGACACTGTGCAGGTGAAGAGCTGGCACTATCTTATTTCCAACTGGCCTTATCCATCCTCTGTTAACCGCCTCCTTCCACACCATCACACTCCTCAGCCCTCTGCCCTGTTCGTCTGTCCTTGCCAAGGTTTAAAGATGCATGGCTCTCTGTCGACTGCATCTCCAAATATACTGTGTTTCCTTTCAATTGAAGATAATGTGATGTAAAAGTAATATTTGCTTCTTTTAGTC